AGACAGATGTGAGGGTGGGACAGAAAGGGAAACATTCCAAAGAGAAGGAACAGCATGTCAAAAGGCCTAGAGGCAAAAAGAAAAAAAAAAAGAGAGAGCACAATTTGGCATCTGTTATCCTATGGATGGAGGATCCACTATCCATGGGGTTGCAAAAGAGTCAGACACAACTTTGCAACTAAACAACAAAGTATATCTTAGGCCAGTGTTACCTAAACTTTTTTTACCACAATCCCATGATACTCTTGGACACAGTACACATGTGTATTTTCATACGTGTGCAGGGGTCCTCCTTCCTACCTGACTTGCCCACCTGATTCAAACTCTCACTGCGCATACTAAAGTTCCTAACAGTCTCAGATCAGTTATTTACAGGCTGCAACAACAGACTGGTTCTAAATCAGGAAAGGAGTACATCAAGGCTGTATACTGGTCACCCTGCTTATTTAACTTATATGCTGGAGAGATGCTGGACTGGATAAAGCATAAGTTGGAATCAAGACTGCTGGAAGAAATATCAATAACCTCAGATATGCAGATGACACCACCCTTATGGCAGAAAGCAAAGAAGAACTAAAGAGCCTCTTGATGAAAGTGAAAGAGGAGAGTGAAAAAGCTGGCTTAAAACTCAACATTTAGAAAACTAAGATCATGGCATCCGGTCCCATCACTTCATGGAAAAAAAAAATAGATCAGAAAACAATGGAAACAGTGACAGACTATTTTTTTGGGCTCCATAATCACTGCAGATGGTGACTGCAGCCATGAAATTAAAAGACGCTTGCCCCTTGGAAGGAAAGTTATGACCAACCTAGATAGCATATTAAAAAGCAGACACATTACTTTGCCAACAAAGGTCCGTCTAGTCAAAGCTATGTTATTTCCAGTAGTCATGTATGGATGTGAGAGTTGGGCTATAAAGAAAGTTGAGCACCAAAGAATTGATGCTTTTGAACTGTGGTGTTGGAGAAAAGTCTTTTGAGTCCCTTGGACTGCAAGGAGATCCAACCAGTCCATCATAAAGGAAAGCAGTCCTGAATAATCACTGGAAGGACTGATGCTGAAGCTGAAACTCCAATACTTTGGCTACCTGATGCAAAGAGCTGACTCATTTGAAAAGACCCTGATGCTGGGAAAGATTCAAGGTGAGAGGAGAAGGGGACGATAGAGGATGAGATGGTTGGATGGCATCACCAACTCGATGGACATGAGTTTGAGTAAGCGCCGGGAGTTGGTGATGGACAGGGAGGCCTGGGGTGCTGCAGTCCATGGGGTCAGGAAGAGTCAGACATGACTGAGCGACTGGACTGAACTGAACTGCTGGTGTCTCTCCCCGCAGCAGAGACGGAGGAAGGCGAGAGCCTGCAACCTCCCCAGCACCCCGCCTGGGCCGTGGGTGGTAGCACCTGGTAGTTTTCCTTCTCCAGGCCCCTCTCCCTCCTCCTGAAGCTGACAGGGAGTCACAGAGCCCAATTCCTTTGCTTCAGAAGCTAGACAAGCCCCCATACCACACCCTTACTCAGCCTCCTCCCTTCAGCTCCCTCCCTTCTCTCCCTGGAAGGTTTGCGCTCCAAGAATCAATCCCTGCACATGAAAAACTCACGCGGTGCCCAGGGGCCCACATGTTGTGCTCCAAGACCACCCAAATGAAGGAACCAGGGGTTGTCCAAAACATGAGTAATCCTGTGGCTGGGCCGGGGAAGTACCAGAGGGGCCAGGACTTTCTGTGTGATAAGTGAAGGAAACGCTCAAAAAAAGATGGGAGCATGTCACAAGGACCCAGAAGCTGGTCTGAAGGAACTCTAGGTGGCCAAATCTGGGAAAATGTGAGTACCAAAATATTTACAGTGACAAATGATAAACCATTGAGGAAACAAATTCCCGAATCCATGCCAATAATCATGCCAATAATATCAATAAGAAACAAGTGTTTTCTTGTTTACAGCAAAGTGTAAACAACTGTCTAACGGAGAGATAACCATCTAAGTGGAAAGAATGCTGGAGGTAGAAAATCATTTTGCAACCATCACAGGAAAGACTGAATCTGGCAAAAATCATCAACAGAGGCTCCATCAAAAGTTTTCTGATGAGGAATGAACATCCGCATAGCCTTCAGTGGTCTCCCCGCACCAGGCCATGCTAAGTCACTTCAATCTAGTCTGGCTCTGCAACCCCATGGACTGTCGCCCATCAGGCTCCTCTGTCCATGGGGATTCTCCAGGCAAGAATACTGGAGTGGGTTGCCATTTCCTCCTCTGGGGGATCTTCCCAGCCCTGGGATCAAACCCATGTCTCCTGTGACTCCTGCACTGTAGATAGATTCTTAACCAGTGAGCCACCTGCGAGGCCCACAGAGTGCTTATTAATTCCAGGAGAAGAAAAACACAGCACAGAAACTGGGCAAGACGCTGGCTGGGTGGTCAAAGTTAGAACCACCCACAAGCAACAGACCTTTGTCCAGTGCCTCCAGGTCTGACACCTTGATGCAGAGGGTTCAGCTGACATCTCGATCCCCATCTGATCAAAAGTCAGATCAATGCACAATGAACAATTCTACTGTCACTCCCTTCCCTAAGCACTCGCAGTGTTTCCATGCTATTCCTGGATAAAATCCAAACCCCACAAACGGGTTTAAGAAGCATTTCGTGATCCATGGCCCAAACCCCGGGGCCTCCACACACGCGCCTCTGTGACCTCAAAGCTTCTCTCTCCCTTGTGCTCTCTGCTTATGCCAGGGCTTTTCAATTTCGGAGAACGATTTAAGGTCGTTAAATTAATCAGATGAGGCAAACAAAAACAACGTATTTTCCAGTAGTGGCAGACATGCTTTGACCTTAAAAATTTATAAAATGTGGAAGTCACTTTTACCTCTGAACCATGAGTATAATTTGTGTCTAACAGGAAACTAAAAACAGAGAAGCAGTTACAAACTAAAAAAATTTCTAATCAACTACATAATAGTATTTTTTCCCTACATATTAATCACACAGTGCTCAGGAAAAAAAAACAGAAAGAGATTCTCCCAACCTGTTTAGCTGTCTAACTCAAAGAGTGGACTTTTCCAGTAACTAAGCACTAGTATACCTACAGCCCATCTACCTCCATCTCCATGGGAACCACCGAAAGAACGCCTGCAACCTCTAAATATTCCCAGAGTTACCAAGATGCCATCCTCCCAGGATACACACACTTGAAACCTCTACCCATGGGATGTCATGAAATTCCTGATCCCACTTTCTACCCTGAGCCTGCTCCTACCCATTCCTCCCCTGAGTAGGTTTCTGGAAGAAAACACCCACGGAGGGAGCCACAAATGGCCACGCATGCGCTTAAAGAAACGTCTCTCCTGCTGCCCGCTGAGAACTGGGCAATAGATGGGAAGGGAAACCCTCTACCCAGCTCAAAGGGGAAAGAATAAAAGAAAAATGGGGCAGAAAGAACTCTCTTCTAGTTATTAGAAAAAGTAAGAAACTCCTCAGGCCCAGGTTCTTTTGAGTTGTCACCCGGGACTAATTATGTCAAATGATTTCTCTGAACTCTGCAAACAGCAAAGGCTTCACAGGTGTCCTTTCAAAACTGGGCTATTTTACAACGTGTTAGGGGCAGAGGTTAAGTTCTAGAACTCTGTCCAATCGAAATAGAAATAATTTCTAACCAGTGGAAAGATAACCCCCCAAATGACAGTTCATAGCCCTATTTAAATTAATCAGCTTTTACCTAAGCCAATGATCTATGACATTTTCTATGTAGCTACCGTTTCAATGTTCGAGTATTTTTTACATTTTACTGGTTCCCTCACTACTGAGTTGGAGAAACTCTTCAACAAATATCCACTTTGTATCACCGTAAGTAATCATTTTAGCTTTCTGGAAGTCCTCCTTTAACAAGTACCACTTGAGCTAGTCCATGGGGCTCCAAAGAGTCAGGCATGACTGAGCACACACATCCTTAGAAAACAGGCTGTGCTGTTCATGTGCATGGTTTGTAATCTACATAAGTGGTGTTGGGCTATAGATTTGATTTGGTGATTCCCTTTTATCTTAAAAAAAAACAGGTGTCACTTGTACCACTGTTTCTACACATGATCAATAAACAACCTCTAAAATTTCAATCACCTCAGCTTGACTGGATTTTTAAAAATATATATAGTACATACAATATACACAGTGTATACTTAAACTGTTTAAGCCCTTTCATAGGAGAATGACCTATACTGTATATTTCTTGAATCATTACTGCACTATCAAAGGTCCCACTTAGGGCTAAAGATGCAAGGCAAACTTCCCTGGCTGCTAAGAAAACGGGAGCTAAAGGTCAAGTCAATAAACCCGGGAGAGTTCACAGCCCTGGCAATACTCTGCAGGTTAGAACTCCCCGTGGACTATTTTAAATCACCAGAAGCTTGGGCAAAGTAAGTCTGAACATCTGCTAGTGCAAACAGCTAATAGTATTTTTTTTTAATTTCCCTCTCTCCTCAGTCGCCTTCTCTGAGTGTTTTGCACTCTCCAGCTTTTTCTCTCCGCATTCAAATAGTAAGAGAAAATAGTGGACAGAATTATGGCTGATAAGCTTCCAAAGAGTCTTATTACCTCAACATTAACAAAAAGGGAAACTGCTTAAATAAAACTACATTTAACAGTAAGTATGCATTGCTGGGTTCAGAGCTTTTTGAGAAAAATGGACCGTACAAAGCTAGTTTAAACGCTGCTGCCAAATGAAGATCAAACTTGTATAAAGATTTTTTAAAATCTAACATAAACCAATGGGAAAATAGATTTTGCTACAAAAGCTTCATTTGGCATATTTACTCATTTAGTAAGAAACATACCACTGTGTACTGTAAGAAGCAAAACAAAATATCAAAACATGACGCTATGCTTCAATCTATGAACCAAACACAAATTAACTTTTAAAGAGCGGACCTCAGTATATTTGTATTCTAGAATCTAAACAAAGACATTTTTCAAAACTAGTCCTAGTTGCTGAGTTCGCTCTCTAACTTTCCATTCCAATCTTGCTTCCGAGTCTGCTTCTGTCTGAGTTTCCAATGGTTATTGTGTTGTTAGATCTGACCATCACCAGTCATCCAGTTCAAGAGCCTAGGAATTCTCTTTGTGCCTCCCTTCTGCTCACATTTTTCAATGAAACAGCGAGTTCTGTCAATTTCTCCTCCAAAACATCTTCTGAAGCTTTGTATTTCTCCCCATTTTTTTCCCCTAATACCATCCCAGGCCAACACATACCAACACATTTGGCCTGAACCTCTACCACTGTCTTAACCTTCCGCTCATGGCCCCTCTACAAGGCTACCACCACTACCAGAGGGGTAAACGTATAAATTGTATCACGTCACTGCCCTCTTTAAAAGCCTCCACAGGTTTTTGTTAACATCAAGAAAAGTCCAAGTGCGCACTTCTCAGGGCCTTCCGGCACTGCAACATGTAGCTTCTATCTACTTTCCCAGCATCTCTGCTGATACAGCTCCTCCATACTCAGGACCTCAATCCAACCTAACAGTTGAAGCACTTGCACCGTGGAGCGCCTAGCACACTGGTTCCTTCCCTCTTTCCAGGACAGCTTCCTCTGGTCCTGAAGATGCCAACTCACACGAACCTGCCACCTAAAGTGGTCCCCTCTTTACCATCTGTACCTGACACCGCTTACCTTCCTCATAACGTTTACCACTATCTGTAAAAGTGTGTGTGGCGGGGGGGAGGGGGGGTGATGTCTTTTCTTGCACCCCTAGAACACAAGATCTAGTCCGAGTAGGGAGCTTTCTGTCCTATAGACCAGTTTCCCAGGGCCTAGAAGAGACAGTGAGTTCGCAACAAGTATCAGTTTACTCCATGAGGCCTGCACGTAGGATTCTCTGAGTCCCAGCCGGACTCGGCTCCCCCAGCCCAGAGACTGTCTACTTCCTTCTCCTCGGGCCCTCAAAGAGGCTTCCCCCTTCTGGCTCTCCAAAGGTTGGAAGACAGTCCTCCTCCCAACGCCTTGAGTTTTCACACGTATAATACTGATACGAAGGGAATGTCCCAAAGCCCCTCAGCGCTCCCCGCAGTCCAGCGGGCATCCTGGCGCCGGCTACTGAGGGGAGCCCTGCGGCGGCGTCCCGTGGCGGCGGGCGCGCGGCATTCACGGGGAGGGACTGGCTCTCTGGGGCCACTTTCCAGCGGAACGGCCCCGCCCTGGTCAGTGCGTTCGAGTCGGACCACAGATACTTAAAGGAGCCTGTGACCCCAAAGGCCCAAAAGAATGGCGGCGAGGCAGGTGAACACTCGCAAGCCCCGTCAGCCCCCTCCCCAGCGCCGAGCGCCCGCGGGCCGGGACGCGGGAGGGCGGGGCGGCCTCGGCGTCGCACCTCCCAGCCCGCCCCGCCCCCTGCACGCCCCCCGGGCTCCGCGCCCCCGCCTCCCGCGCCTTACCTGCGGGGTCGAGCGCCATGTCCACGCACAGGAGGCGGCAGCCGCGCGGCCGCCCGCGAGAGTGGCTGGGGCGGGGCCTGCACGGGAGGCGGGGCGGGGCGGCCCACGGAGCGAGAAGAGGAGCGCGGCGCCCAGCGCAAAGCGAAGCGGCCTCAGCGCCTCTTACTTCCTGGTCGCGACTTCCGCCGCTCACCGCGGCTGCGCACTCCCGACCCCGTCCCTAGGCGCGTGACCGGAGCGGAGGGCCTCGCCCGAGGGAAGCCCGGGGGGGGGGGGGGGGGGGGGGGGGCGCGGAGCCGCCCGGAGCCCCCAGGCGCGCCGGGCGCGAGGCTGGGAGCCGTGCCCGACGGCGCTGTGAGGTGTCCGGCGGGGACCCGCACCCCGGGACGACTCCATTCAATCCCAAGCCTCTCGCAGCATTCCTGCCTTCGGCCCTGAGAAGCCAGTCTGCCCCTTTGTCTGCGCTTCGTTAACGTTCGTTCATTCAGAAATGTCTTGTGTCCTGCCTGCCAGGTTCTGGCCTCAGTTCTGAATACTAGGGGGAAATAACTGGATAAAAATGAAATCTCTAATTCCGAAAAAACACAGTGTTGGTGAGGAAGCCGGTGAGAGCACTGCGCTGCTAATTGCGGAGAGCAGTTCTTCGAGGCGGTGCAGCACCTTTGTACTAGATGCAGCAGCTTGCTCCCGCCCCGATCCCCCGCCCCCCGACCCCCATCGGACGCCTGTGCCCTCCTGGAGGTTACAAGTAGGAAGTGGGCGCAAGGGGTACCTCTGTCCTGTGAGATGATACACTTGGATGATGCTACAAATCCCCACTCTCTCGACTGAAGCTGCTAAGTGTGTGAGAAAAATGAAGGAAGGTGATAGCCATCGTCAAGAACCCCAACTTCCCCCTTCTCGTAGGAACTCGGGGTAGCAGTTTTGCCCATACCCATTCACCAAACAGCCTTCAGAAAGGCTCCCTCGTTATGCCTACGTGTAGCTAGCTCCAGCCCCCGAAGGGTGAGGTGCGGAGGGGGACAGATGGGACAGATGTTGGAAAAACAAGGAGCAGCTGCTGCTTCCCTGTGAGGGATTTAAGGCTTTCAAAAAACGGTCCCCTCCCCACCTACCTGCGGGCCCTCCTCCCCTGCTGCTGTTTCCGCCTGGTCAGTTGGCAGAGAAGCTGACGCGGGGGAGCAGGGCTGGGAAAGTGGATCTCTGCTCAGCAGGTCTTCCGTTTAAGGGCCTATTTGGGCATAACGGCCCTTATCACAGCTGCAGGGTGAGGTGCCAAGCTGGAGAATTAATGTTTCACTCAGCCAGGCAGGAAATCGGGCCCTGTTCCCTGTATGTTTATAAGTGTGTTTAAAAACACACCAAATTCATTCTGGAGGGGAAGGATTTAATTTAGGATGGAAATATTTTTGAGGAGATGAAGTGGGGTAAAAAAAATACGAGTCAGTCACACGCGTAAGTAGTTGAATGAAATCTTCCTTATACAAAAATAAAAGCATCCTGGTAAAGGGGAACCTTAGAGAGCATGAGTCAGAGACGTAAGTATCTCCACCTGAATCCTGTTTCACGCCCTACTCTTTCTAGGTTGGCTAAGTCCCAATGTTTCTCCAGACTTTTGTTTCTAATTTGCAAGGTTGTTGTGAGAAATAAATATACCACCTAACACTCTTTGAGTCATTCATGTACCACTTCCATAGTTTTTTCCATAACTGAGTAACACTTGAACCACTATTAATTTTTTATTTAAATAAACTGAATTTTTAAAAATACCTTAAATGGACACTCCCTACTTTAGCCTTATCATAAGCAAGAATATCTGTAAAATCATGGTTTTTGTGTGCCCATAAAACAGTGTATGGTCAGGCCACACAAAATGACTGTTCTCTTGCTCTCTACATCTCCAGCCCAAGCAGCTACTCGCATGTCTGACCTTCCTATGTACTTGCTCCTGCCCCAGTTTGTGATGGTTCTAATCCAAGGAATGGTGAGGGGCGTGCCCCTCTGCTAGTTTCCATGGTAACCAAGAGCCAGCTTGACATCCATTATTTCTAGAACTGACAATATCCTCCTGTCCCTGGGGAGCGAAGACTGCCACCACATCCTGCCCACTGTCTGCTGCACGCAGTGGGACGTTGGTCCAGGGCCCTTCTTCAGACGTGTAAGATCCCCCTGCCATTAAACCATTGATGTCTCTGTTGCCAACTCCAGGCTCTTTCTTAGGTCTTAAAGCTGGACAATATAAGGCTTGTAGTTCTGCAACAAACAGACAGCTAGACCATTACACTATGAGAAGTACTGGCAAAAACAGCAGCTCACTGCCTGGTACCAGATAGTATATTCCATCTCCTCCCTTACGTGAGACTAGGTTGTTTGGGGACAAAGTCTTTACAATCTGCCTGGGAAAGAGAAGTCTTTTTTTTTTTTTTTAAGTTAAATCATAGAAATGTAATTGGCAATTCAAAACAAGAAATTTCGTAAGCAATCACACTATGAATAGACAATTTGGGGCTGAAGGGCTCACTGCCACAGGAGCGGAAGAGGGAGGAGGGCCCATCGTCCTGGGAATGAGCTGCAACTGTCATCCACCGGGGATCACTGGGGTTCAGAAATCAGACCCTTTAGGGTTCAGACCCTAAAGGCCCCATGGTTGCTGTCAACAAGGATTGAGTGTCAGAGTGGTTAGGAAAGATATCAAAAATGAGGACAAATTAAGGTTGACTTTGAAAGATGAGTAACAGGTAAGCAGAGAAGAAGGCTTGTCATGCTAGGAGAAGAAGGAGCAGACACCTCTGGGGTTCGAGATGTTCTTGAAGGATAGTGTGACGTGGAAAAGAGGGGGAAGGGAGGGACACACAGGAGCAGAAGCGCAGGGACACTCATGACTGCATTGCGGGCATGGGGGTGGGCAATGCCTGAAACCACCTGGATGAATGTGGGGAAGCAAGGATGGTTATAAATAAGACTGGGGAAAAAAACCAAACAGATTCCCAAAGCCTTAAGCATTAGACTGAGGAGGTGTTGAATGTGTTGCTATAAGCAGTTGAAGGCTAACAAGTACAACAGAAAATGGCATTGTGGTCAAAGTGATGTTTGTCAAACATCTTCTGTAGGACAGATTTAGAGAGCCAAGAGGTGAGCAGAAGAGTCAGGACGCTATTGCAACTGCTGAGGCAGAATCAGATAATAACTGACACTGGAATATATGAGACGTACCAAGAAAGGGTGAGTCAGAGAGTGATTAGAAAGGGAGGATCTAGACTTCCTATTGTGTTTAACAGAAAGGAATCAAGAAGGATTTCTAGGTGTGTACAGACCAATGAGAAAGTCATGGTGATTTACGCTTCAGGTGATCTGCCCTTGACCCTCATTACTAGGGAGGAGCACCGCAACAGAGGGGAAGTTAGGAGGAAGCTGGAAGACCCCAGGGAGCCAAGACTGAGGCTGACCCACGACAGAGCACGTGAGGTGTGTAGTATGTAGATGGAATACGTGTGTAGGTATGGTATGCATGTATTTATTGTGGGTTTTGTTTTTTTTGGCTGTGTTGAGTCTTTGTTCTGCACACAGGCTTTCTCTCGTTGCAGCGAGTGGGGACTGCTCTTTTAGTTGTGGCGTGTGGGCTTCTCATTGCAGTGGCTTCTCCTGTTGCAG